CTTTATTTTCTCAACTCTTCTGTTCCAGCCTCCAGCTTACAGATCTCACTTCAACAAACAAAATATTCTGCCAGCCATCTTTGGAAAATGATTCCTCAACCATCCATCATCAATTAACCTGCAGCCAGGACAACTTCGTGTTCCTCTTCTAAGGAGAAGAGGGCACCTCCATGTCTGCTGGGATCTGAAAAACCAAATGGACGCTATGTTTCAGCCTTGCCTATCCTCATCAGGTGACTGGTACAGGTTTAAACTTTAAAACAATGCACCATAGCCCTAAATCTCCATTCAAGTGCTCATAAGACTTCATACAAACAAACAGACCCCCCAAGAACAGGAAACATGTTTTGTGGGTCATCCTGATAGAAGACAGACAGGTATGGGGGGGGGTGGCTCAGTGGTAGAGCACATGCCTAACCTGTCCAAGCTCCTAGGTTCCACCCCAGCCTTTCATCACAGATCCAGCCTCAGATCAGAAAGACTGGCCATCCTGAGGGTTAGGGAGGACTAGGAGGCTCGGAGATGGTACCTAAAGCTCCCAGCCTGGCACATAGAAAGGGTCCCTGAGCCCCAGGTATACCCTAGTGAGTCTCAGTTGTGCCACATAGTGAACTTCATCTGGGGCCCCAATTTTAAAATCTTCAAACACTCAGGTGCAGAAAAACTAGGTTCACAAGGGCAGATTTTGTGTCACCTGCAAAACCCTCACCAGCTGGTATTTGCTCACCAGATCTCCTGGAGAGGCCCATGGGTGGCTACCAGTTTCTGTTGAATGTTTCAAAGCAAATGTTGCTGGCTGTCATAGTCCCACATGTGTCAGATGTCTGCAATTGTGTTGAGCAGTAGTTTTTAGGGCTCAGTGATTTGCTCAAGCAGAATGCTTTGCTGCTAGGAGGAGTTGATTTAATACTATGTTGCAATGAGAAAAATGGAAATTCAGAGAGGGCTGGGTAGCCTGCCCAGGATCACACTATGAGTCAGGGCTGGGCTGGAGCCACAGCTGGGATAATCCCTTCTCTGTGTTTACGTCACCCACTCATTCATCTCATTCATTCACTCACACAACAGTCACTTTTTCCTTTCCTTTTTTGAGGTGTGGAGGATGTAGGACCCAGAGTGTTCACACTGAGCTAAATCCTCTGCCCATTATAAATTTTTTTTCTTATTTTGAGATAGGTTCTCACTAAATTGTTAAATTGCTCATGGTGGGATCACCTTTATAATCCTCCTGCCTCAGCCACCCAGAGTGCTAGACTTACAGATGTGCACCACCACAGCTTCCTTACATGCAAAAGTTACACAGCACCCACTAGGTGGCAGGAACTGTGCTTGGTGCTAGGGACAAAATGCTGACACAACAAGGCTTGTAAACAAATAAGCAAATGATGAGTCTTGACAGAGGGGTCAAGAGAAGGTTGCCTAGAGGAGGGACAGGTCTCCAAGGAAGGGTAAAGAATCTTGCCCCTTAATGATGTGAAAGAACCTATTATGGAAAAGAGCTAAAAGAAGGGTATTTCCAGCCCAAGGAACTGCAGAAACACCAAAGTTTGTGCAACTCAAAGCCACCTAGCACAGCTGTGGTGGCTGTGGTTAGTGACTGACGCTGGGAGAGGACCCAGTGAGGTCAGGAAAAGCAGGGTGGGTGGCCTTGGGGAGGAGTTTGAATTTGCTCTGATTGTGGCAGGAAGCCACCAAAAGACTCAGGCAAAAGAGAGAGGTGCTCTGGTTCTGAATTCTAGAAGAAGCACCTCTACTCTGTGGTGCCAGAGCTTCCCCTTCCCAACTTCCCAGAGCTCCTCCGTGACTCCTCAACGCCATCTGACATCAGTACTAGAATGAGATGCATTCCCTGGTGCATCCCACCTCCACCCATGCCAGTGGAGCCCTGACTTTCTGTTAAGGCCTTAATGTGCCCCCACCCTGCTCCCAATGTGTATGTTGGACTCCTAACCCTAATGTGTGGTACGAAGATCTGGGGGCTTTGGGAGGTGATTAGGTCATGAATTGCCCTCAGGATCAATGACCTTATAAGAGAGCCACTGAGACCTCTCTCACCCTCTGTCTGCCATATGAGCTACAAGAAGAAACCCACACTCACACCCGGAATGGGCATTCCCTGGGCACTGAATCTGCCTGCATCCTGGTCTGGAACCTCCCAGCCTCCCTAACTGTGGGAAGCTTACTAGGCTATGGCACTTCATTATGGCAGCGTATGAACAGACCAAGACATTGCCCTTGCCCATTCTCCATCATTAGGGTTGCAGAGAAAAGCCACACCCAGCAGACAGCCAGGCAAGCAGTCTGCCAATCAGTGTCACTCAACTTGGTACTTCCGATGCAAACCTGACAACCTCCAGGCCCTGGGGGTTTCCGAAAAATGTCTCTTGGCCCCAGAAGAGGAAGTGGTAGCTGACACACACCCTTCCCCTGTGGCTGCTGACTGCTGGGTGAGAAGTTCCTGGGACACAAGACAGACCAAGTCTGGCCTGGTATTTCACAGGTTCCAGGCATGGGTCAAGGCTGGGCAGGAAAGCTGGCAAGTGTCCAGGCCCAAGTCAGGGAGCAGAGGGGAGGGGCTGCCCAGAGTCACGCTGTGAGAGCACCCAACTCCACGTCATGCTGCCTGCCTCTGTGTGATAGAGATGAAGGAGACATTATAGCAACACCCAGGGCAACCCAGCCCACAGGAGGGACACCATGCACGGCACCTCCCTGACACTCTCTCCCTCCCAGAAACAGAAACAGACTGTCATATATGGAGATGTTCATGACAGCCATGGTATAGCAGAGTAATGGGATTGGGTGATCATCTCAATAAAGAAAGTCAACAGGTAAACAGGTACATTAGAGAGTCCCATGCAAAAAGGCAAACTAAAGATTTTAGAATAACAACAGTTCATACAGAGCAGAACACCGCTGTTCTGACCCTTGCATATCCTGACTTACCTTACGCCTCCCAATGGCCTATGAGGTTGCTGTAGCAGTGAATAAAAGCAAAAGCTCCACACTAGTTATGAAAGAAAAGACTGATGTGACTGAGTAACTTAAAGCTGGCAGCTTCTATTCATCACAAGAGCCCATTAAGTGAGAAAAAATTCAAAGCCCAGGAGCAGAAATGGATGCTGAGAAGCACACAGTCCCAAGCAAGAACACAAAGAATGCTTACAAACCAATAAAAAATAATTCAGTAAGAAGATGAGCAATGGACTTGAACAGATACTTCACTGCAGAAAAACTGAAGAAGGAAATAAGCCCCTGAACAGGTGCTTAACGTGATTCGTCTTTAGGGAAATGAAGAGACTGTACACCTACTGCAACGTCTACAGTACAAAACACTGAGCATGCCGAGAGTGGGTGAGAAGGCCGAGCACCCGGAGTCTCACAGCTGCTGGTGGGAATGCAGAATGTCACAGGCTTGCTGGAAAATGGCTTGGCTTAATCTAGGATGGCTGAAACTATTCAAACTTGGAAACCAGATAATTTCATCTGGGCAAAATCACATGGAGCTGGGTATGGCAGCACACATCTATAATCACAGCATCTAGGAGGCTGTGACAGGAGGATCACAAATTAGAACCCAGTTTGTGTAGCTTACTGACCTAGTGAGATTTTGTCTCAAAACAAAAAATAGAAAAGGCTTGGGGATGTGGTTCAATGTGAAGGTTCTGGGTTCAATTTCTTAGAAACTCCTCCAAATCACATAGACTTGGATAAACGTATAATATAACCAGCAGCATTGATCATCATGGCCATACTAGAAACAACAGAAAAATACATCAACAGACCAAAAAACAACAAAGGATAAATAATAATGTATTCAAATAATACAGTAACATAACTACATATTTAAAGTCCACACGCAATCAGTAAATCACACACACACAGATGCTGAGTGAAAGAACCAAAAACACCAAAAATACAAGCAGTATATATGGCTCAATTTACACAGAGCTCAAAAATAAAGAAAAATGGGACTGGGTATCAGCAGCACAGCACCTGCCTGGCAAGCGCAAGGTCTTGAGTTCGATTCCAAGTACCAAAATCAAAAAAAAAAGTAAAATTAAATGCAAGTATTTAGGATCTATTCATGGAAGGCGATTTGTAAAGCTAGGAGATAACCCCCATCATAAAGGGAGCTGTCACCACCTCTGCTGGGAAGGCACATGCTGGACTTCTGGGAAGGGGTGGCAAGGTCCTGTTTTTTATCCTGTCCAGCCTCTTGCCCATAAGGTCACAAATACTGGTGGCCATGGGTCACCATTTGGCTTCCCTGGTACTTTCTGTCACTGTGGCACAGCCCTGCACAGATGGAATTCTGAGGTCACCCCATGGCCTTCTATGCCAGGCTCTATGCCCCACCAGCTCTGTGCTTCATGCCTCAGTTTCCTGTTAGTGAGACATCACAGCCCCCATCGCGCCTAGCTAGCAGGACACAATAACACATGTTATCGTACATATGGATGTATCCCCCAAATTCACTGTTTAAAGTTTGGTGAAAAAATTTCATAATGGTAGAGCATAGTGATTGGGTCATGAGGGTGGGTGGAGTGGGTCCTGGGGTGGACAGAGTCTTCATAAATGAATTAATGCCACTCCTATGCAGTGAGTTAGCTGTGAAGACACTAGGTCCCTTCCTCCCCTCTGTTTTGCCACCCTACTACTTGCTACCAAGGCAGGAAGGTCCTTCCTCAAAGACTGCCACAGTGTCCCTGGACCTCTTAGCTTCCAGAACTGTGAGCCAACTAAACTTCTCTTCTTTATCATGTACTCAGTCTGCTCTTCTGTCCCAGCAACAGAAAAGGATTGAAAAATAGAGCCCTGGGAGGAGCTATTTGAACACTAAGGTGGTCCAGTTCTCAAAAGGGCAACAAGACTGCTGGGAAGTGAGGCCAAGCTAGACTCCCTCCTGAGTGTGGACAGCCAGCCCTGCACCGCCCTCCTCCACCCTGTTGGCTGCTGAAGAAGACCGCAGAGCTCGCATACCATCTTTCAGCAGCCAATGGGCTGAGCGATCAGGAGCAGTCACACAGCCCGTTTCCTGTTTTCAAATAGGGAACTTGGCAAAGCGGCAGCCTCTCCACCACTTGCTTGAACTTGGAACAGAGAGACAAAAGGGACATGTGACCATCTCCTGGATCCCCAGAACGCACAGGGACTAAAGACTTCAGGTCAGTGTTAGATCCCAAGATCAGCTGGCCTCTACCCACTGTGTCTCTGTTGCCGTCTCCTGTGACCCTCTCTCTGTACCCATTCCAGGCTGGGCGGGACAGAAGGGAGTAGATGACAGCCTCTGTGTAGAGGCCCTAAGCTTACTTAGCACGTTGGTATAGCAGGCAGGGAACCCCCACACCGCTAACCTTGTCCCCTCAATTCCTTCTGGACACTTGTACAACCCATTTCAGTCCTGGGGAATAAGTCACTAGGTCTGAGTTTCTCAAAAAGTGAGATCAGTGACACTGCATCAACCTAGCAGGGACCCCAGGGGGACCTGTACAAAATGTAGACTCCAGGGCCCACCCAAGACCAGCTAACTGGCACTCTGGCCTTGAGCACGGGGAAATCTGCTTTTAGGAAAGCCCCAGCATCCCACCCCATCCCAAAAGGAGATTCTGTTGCACAGACACACTGGGAAGCCCCTGCCCTTGAGGGTTGCTCAGGTGGGCATCTAAGTATCCTGTAATATCTAGCCAAGTGAGGCCCCCACGCCAACAATACCAACATTTGCAGTGTTTTGTTGTCACCTAGGAACTTTTGCTACCAAGGCCACAGACAAGAGAAGGCCTCAGGATCCCTGTGTAGCCTTTTGTTTTTTGTTTTTGGCACTGGGGATTAAACTCACAACCTCAGTGCTAAGCAAGCTAGCAGGTAATCCACATGCTCTTTTATGTGCCAGGCAGACACTTATGCTGCTGAGCTAAACCCCTGGTCCCACTGTGTAGCTTTTGCCAAAGAACATTTAGAATAGCAGGATGGCTGCCTCGTTCCACAGATGGGAAACTTAAGCCTAGAGGTGGACAGGAAGTTTCTCAGGATCCTAAGAATGCAGCAATGTATGATTGTTTCCCTTCCATTTCTCTTTAAATGGGTGATTCCCAGTCAATCTCCCGAGAGAAAACTCAAGGCAGCTGGCATTGGCTACTAGACTTGATTTTTATTCCAAACTCTGGTTTCCCAGGTCTTTACTGGAACATCCTACCAAAGTATCATTTCTGGGGACTTAAAGCTTCTCCAGGAAAGCAGCACCTTGCTTCTGACCTGACACTGACTGCCAGATCAGCAAAGCAGAGCTGGAAGAGCTGGGACCAGGGATGCTAATGTCATTCCCTATTTCACATTTTACAGATGAGTGGACTGAGGCAGGTGTAGAGGGCTGTCACAGGAAACACGGCCCCCACAAAATCCCAGCCACCAAGAGTCTATTAGATAAAAGAGCATGTGGATTATCTCCTAGCTTGCTTAGCCAAAAATAGGGGACCATCCTTAGCCATCCATCATCTATCAGAAGATCAGGGCTTAAAGCCCCACTTTGCCCATGAGGAAATGGAGGCCTTGCCTAACCTACTGAGTTAGATGGAAGGCTGTGGCTCCTGACTTCTGGGAGACAAAGAAGTGTGCAAGCTACACATGCTCAAGTATGTGGAGCCCTGAGCCAGTCAGGCCCCCATCCTGTGCCTCCATCTACCCATCTGTAGCAGGAGGGGGTGGATGGGAGGTCCAGAGGCCACCTAGAGAACCCTCAGGGTTCCTTTGACCTGGCGTAGCCAGAGCTGACACTAAGGTAAGGGCTGTGGGCTGTGCTAACGGCCCCCTTCCTAGTTTCAGTGCACTGGAAAAGGCTCTTGTCTCAGGCAGGAACACAGGAGGGGACACTGCTGCTGCACTCCCCTCAAGGACACTGTCAGCTAGAGGTTCAGCTCAGGGACTGGAAGCCAAGAGTCCAGAGTTCAAGTGGCCACATTCGCATGGGTTCCACATGCAGCTCTACCGGATTCTGACAAGTATCGGGAGGTCACTGGGCTTCCTTATTCCAAATCTCTTCTCCCCCACAGAGCCCCGGCTACTTGCTCTAGGGGATGTTTCCATCCCCCTTTCTTTTAACCCGAGGATAGCTGTCATTCTGTCCCAGGTCACACTGCAGTTTAGAGTCACTTATTCTGCAAGTGCTTGTCACAGCATTTGATCCGAATAACAGGGACAGGCACACAGTGCCTGGTGTGTGGGGGGCTGAGCTGATTGATGTGTTACAGTGGCTGCTGACTTAAATCTGCACCCCAGCCTTGAAAGGCGGGTTCTGCTATTGCACCCATTTTCTAGGGAGAAATTGAAATATGTGCCGGCCACCAGGTCATCGTGTCTACTTGCCGTGATCACTGGACCCCTGCTGCCCACCCTCCCAACTTGTCCCCATGTAGGAGGATTCAGCAGCAGGTCTACCTAGGTCTCTGTCCTGGTAACACATTTGAGGTCTTGCTCTTGGGGAACTCTGGCTCTCGGCTCCTTTATTACAAAGTGGAGATAAAAACAGTCCTTACCATGAGTAGTAGTCAGATTCAGTGAGGGACTATGTGGAACTTGGGGTACACAGCGAGCCTGTCATGAATATTTGGAACAAATTCTGCTTTGGACTCCCTGATCAGCTACATGTTTCTGGGCTGGACATCCATTTCCTCCTCTGTTCTTTGTGGGGAATACTAGATCCAGTCAGATAGGGGGTGTGAAGAAGTAAATAATATGAAGTAGGAACAATGAGTTGTCAGTAGGTGCTTGCTTAAAAATAGATAGAAAAACAGACACACAGTAAGATAACATTGAATACTGGGACACTGATCTGGCCAAGTCCACATCTTTCTCCCACGTATTTACTAAAGCCACTATCTTCATTAAAATGACCTCACTTAAAACCCACAGCAATGTGACAGCAACAGTGTGACAAGGGTCTGCATCACCTTGAAGGGTCTATGCCACCCTGGCACCATCTGCCCAACTGAGGGGCAGACCTGGATTTGACCCAGCAGAGTGCCAATGGGCACACAGCCCCTGTGGGGACCCCAGGGCCCCACACAAGTGAGCACTCACTACTTTTCCCTGTGCTCCTAGCAGCCTAGGATCATGGCAAGAGCTGAGCATCCTGGGAGCCCTGGCTCGCCGACCCAGTGTGCAGCAAGGACCAAACGGGAAGTACCTGCCATGGGCCCAGACCTCCCACATCCAGGACCAGAAGGACACCTAGGTAGGCTTGAGGCCTGGGGCTTGGGAAGGGAACACAGATTCAAGCACATGTAAAGTATGAACAGGACTCACTTCAGGGGCTGCGTCAAGCCAGCTGAGTAGCTCTCTTAACTGGATCGTACCCAAGTGGGCCTTGAGCTGGGAGATGACCCAGGGAAGCAAGGCAGGGAACAGGGACACCAGGGGAAAAGGGTAGGAGGCTTCTATAGGGATCAGTGATCAGATGACTGGGGTCAGTAACCAAGGCTTAGTCCCAAAAAGGGTCTCTGGATGTACATGGAGAATGTCTCAGAGTTGTCACATCTGAGAGAGGTTATTATCTACTAGAGCTGTCTCACATCAGCTGAGGGAGGATCCTAAGCATGCTGCTGAACCTCAGAGGCTCTCAGGTCCAAAATCCTAGTTCCTTCTCTTAGAAACCCAGCAGCACCATCCAGAGTGAGTCTAAGAGGCCCTCGCCCAGAACAGACGGCACTACTGTGGTGCCATTCCTTTTACCATCACTTGAGATGGATCTGGTGACCAACTTCTATGTTCCACACAAGGAAACTGGAGCAAATGAAACCCTACTGGCCCTCAAGATCCACAGGGGAACATCCCTGAAAAGTTAGAAATGCAAAATAAAGTCTAAAAGAACAAGCTGGCAGGCTCCTGATCAAATGCCAAGGGTAACTGGTTTGGGTAGACACAGGCTTTTGAGGCTCAATAAATGCACAATTACGATAAACATTAGGGAAAGAGTCTAAGCGTCCTCAGAATTCTCAGGTGCACAGGGCTTAAGGGAGATTTAAGGAACACTGTGTCGGGGAAAGGGAGGGTGGGATTCAAAGCAGAGAAGTAGCATGCAGGAGAAAAAGCAGGCTGTGTAGGAGGTTCCAGAGAGGCCAGCCAGGCCGAGACCAGAACATGACATCTTACAGCTCTGGTCCCTGCACTCTCTTGTGCTCCAGAGGACCCAGCAGAAGCCCTGTCTGTGTTACAGGGTTCACAGAAGTAGACAAGCCAGGAACGTAGGGTTTCACAACAGCCAGTCTGCAGGCAGGAAGTAAATGATGTGGTTAACAGAGCTGTATTTTACAACCTAGAACTAGGCAAGGCAAACAGGCTGGGCAGTGGGGGATTCAACCAGGAAGGGCTGGAATGGGAGGTGGGGATAGCTAGTGCTCTTCAGGAGTTCTGAGAACATCAGACCCAGCCACATTCACAAGGCCTTGCTTCTAAAGTGCACTGACCCACCCCGTATGAGTCCCTAAAAGCGCTGTTCTTCCAGATGGCCCCAGTGGCGCGAGCTCCAACTCTAACATGACCACGCGGGAGCTGCAGGAGTACTGGCGAGGCGAGAAGGGCCACTGGAAGCCCATCAAGCTGCTCTTTGAGATTGCTTCGGCTCGCATCGAGCAGAGGAGGATCTCCAAGTTTGTGGTGAGCCAGGAGAGGAAATGAGGGAACCCCTTTCACTACCTCTCCCAGCCCTGGGCAAGTCCTGCAGAACCTCCACTTTCTTAACTGTAAAATGGATGGAAGACACTTCTAACTCACAGCATTCTTCCAGGGGCCATAACTGAAGAGTTAGGTTTTGTGCTCAGCCCTGTGGTAGTCCCATGACAGTTAGAAACATGCTAGTCACAGTTCCAGATCCCCAAAAGTCAACAGATCAGTGTAATCCCCCTATGGGACGTTAGTCACCTATGTCTCTTTTCCACCAATTTCACCATATCTTGCTTACTTAATTTTATGTTTCAACTGGCTTATTTTCTAAAAACATTAAACATATTTGAATGAAAGACCAGTATCAGGCAGAGAATGGTGGCACATGCCTGTAATCTCAGCACTCTGAAAGGCTGAATCGGGAGAATCACAAGTTTGAGTCCAGCCTGGGCAATTTAACAAGACCCTGTCTCAAAATAAAAATTAAAAACCCTGTATTCAACCCCAGGAAGCTGATAGAAAGAAAGAAAAAAAAAAAAAAAGAAGGAAAGTAAAGACCAGTATCACATGCCATTTAAAAAGTAATTGTAAATATAAGTAAATATACAGAGAAAGCTAAGCACTGTTAACAAAATTCTAGCTGACTGGCATGGCTGTGGGAGCTCTGGCTTGGGGGCTGCTGTCTGTTGGGTTGGAACTTCAGCCTGTGTTAGGGAAATAGTAAGTGCCACATTCCACCCAGGAGAATGACAAGAGTTCTTCCATGTAGTTTCAGCATTAAGGTTGAGGATCAGTTCATTTGATCCTTTCCTAGAGAATGAAAGAAGAACTTTCCCTATCCTTGATTTATGCACAAGAAAACTGAGGCTCCGAAAGGTTAAATTCCCATCTAAGGCCACACAGCTAGATCATAGTGGGGCTGGCATTACAACCCATGCAGTCAGGCTCCAGAGTCTATGTCCTTAAGAGAAATGAAACGGAATCATATTCGAAGTAGATCTTTGCTACTATGATGCTATACTGTGCCTGGGACTATTTCCTCCTGCCCAGAAAGCATAGCTCTAATTCAAGCTTCCCAGTTCAGAACACAAACGCCCAATGCTAATGATGTAAGGCAAGAAGGTCCCTGCATGGACTTATTCCTGAGCTTTTCCCTCCCCAGATGTCTCATGTGTCTAGATTTTTTTTTCCAGGGTCGACTCTTGTCATAGGTCACCTTTACAGTTTGGTCAATGTAATGTCAATTAAAACAGAACTGCAAGGTGCACAAAGTGACACTTGTCTGCAATCCCAGCACTCTGAGAGGCTGAGGCAGGAGGATCACAAGTTCACTTTGCAATTTAGTGAACGCCTGTCTCAAAAATACAGAAAAATAAAATAGGGCTAGATATGTAGCTCAGTGTGAAGGCCCTAGGTTCAATCTCATATTGAAAGAAGAAGGCAGTGGTCGGGTAGAATTGCGGGCTAGGGCTGTAGCTTGGGAAATGTCACCTAAGCTGCAACGAAAGGGTGTCTCTCTCGCCACAGATGTACCAGATCGTGGTCATCCAGACAGGCAGCTTTGACAGCAACAAAGCTGTCCTGGAACGGCGCTACTCGGACTTTGAGAAGCTGCAGAAAAGCCTGCTGAAAATTTACCGGGAGGAGATCGAGGACGTGGTCTTCCCCGGGAAGCGCCTGACCGGGAACTTCACGGAGGAGATGATCGGCGAGCGCAGGCTGGCGCTCCGGGAGTACCTGCGGCTGCTCTATGCCATCCGCGCCGTGCGCCGCTCGCGCGAGCTCCTGGACTTCCTTACAGGCCCCGAGCTGCGCGAGGCCTTCGGCTGCCTGCGCGCCGGCCAGTACGCGCGCGCCCTGGACACGCTGCTCCGCGTGGTGCCGCTGCTGGAGCGGCTCACGGCGCACAGCCCCGCCACCCTGGTCCCCGCGCTCTGCGCCATCCTCGTGTGCTACCGCGACCTGGAGCGGCCTGCCGAAGCCTTCGCGGCCGGCGAGAGGGCCCTGCGGTGTCTGCATGCTCGGGAGAGCCACCGCTACTACGTCCCGCTGCTGGAGGCCATGGTGCGCCTGGCCTACTCGCTAGGCAAGGACTTCGCGACGCTGCAGGGGAGGCTGGAGGAGAGCCAGCTCCGCTGGCCCAGCCACCGGGGCTTCTCGCTCAAGGAGCTCACCGTGCAGGAATACCTATCCTCCTGAGGGCTGGTCACCATTGCGGTGGGCTGTTTGGGGCTTGGTTTAAGGAGAGGGGAACATTGGGTGATTTTGGATCGCCCCTGCTCTGATCTGCCATTGAACAGAGGGCCTGCCTGTATGTCATGCGCCCTGGGGGGCAGCTCAGTTTATCTCAAAACCACAAGCCCCATGGTGACAATTCTGGAGAGTAATGAGTACCTTTCTGGGGTTTTACAGAGAGTGGCAGGAGAAGTTTACATCCAAATCAAGATGTAGCTCAATCCGTGTCCCGGAAAAGCATGTCTCCAGCCATGCCGGGTCTTTCCTCTGCTCTTATTATTTCAGTTTTGCTTATAAGTAGTTTCACCCAGTTAGTGTGGTAGTGCATGCCCGTAATCGTACCACTCTGGGAGGCTGAGGCAGGAGGATCATGAATTTCAGGCCAGCGTGGGCTACACCGTGAGACCCATTGCAATAAATAAATAATTCCATTCATTATCCTAATACTCTAGTACTTCCCTCTTAGCATATAAACAGACTCCATTTAGCAAATCAAGAGCTCACCTATTAACCTCAAATCTCCCAGGTGGAGGCCATGTGTTATCCTTTGAAGGAAGGAGGACAGAAAGCAACAGTGCCATAGGGTTCTCCAACAGTTGTCTTTAGCCAGGGGAGTGGATCGTGATATCCTGGCTAGGGTTCGGTGACACAGAGCCCAGGGATGCACTTTTACTCACGAGACAGCTGGCTCCTTGCATGGTTTTCCTGGAGGGAAGAGGATTGAGATCTTCCATGAGATTCAGTCCTCAAAGACTCTCCTCCTTTTGAGGGCTGTATTCCTTTTACCTCTCTGATGGGTTGGGTCCACCGTGAAAAAGAATGCAGCACCAACCCCAGCAGGAAGAGGACTCTAGACAAGCGGGCTGTGTCAATGCTGCAGGCCATTTTGGGCCCATTGTGTGTTTGAGGCTGGAAGCCCCTGAAAACCTAAAGCACCTGACTGAGCTCCTCGGGGTATAACTTGGAAATGGGAATGTGGGGCTCTACTTTTGTCTGTGCGGTAGTCTAGTCCAGGGAGAAAGCCGAGGTAGCAGTGTGGAAAGCGTTTAGAAAACTGTACTGGAATCTGTTCAACAATGACACTGTGTGGTGACCTCCTGGAGGAGGACCCCAGTTTCAATTTACTCCTAGAAAAGGATCCTTAAAGTGGGAGAGACTAGATTGCTTGAAAACCTGAGATCGTGGAAAATTATGTTGTACCATGGAAAAATAAAAGCTGTAAGTCCATTTGTGATGGTGAAACATTATTTCATCATATCTAAAATGTTGTCAAATGTGAAGTGCACCAAATATTTCCTGAGAAGAAAAAAATTCCCAACATGGGGAGTTTGATAAGAAATTCTAGCCAAAAGCTGGAAGACCAAAGAGTCAGACAGTGTAACAGAATAAACCTGCTGCTATGACAAATCTTGTGTTGAAATTTAATACCCAGGGTGAGGAATTGGAGGGTGGAAACCTAATCTGACTGTGGTGTTCAGGGACAGCATTCTTGACCTCAAAAGAAAAGAATGAGACACCCAAGCTAGCACGATTGATCTCACCTTGTGATACCCAGCACTGCCTTGGGATTCTGCTGTCCTCACCTCATTAGGTGCACCTCATTAGATTTCTCACCTCCAGAACTATGAGCTGAATAAACCTTTATTCTTCAGAAGTTACCCAGTCTGGGGTATTCAGTCATATCAACAGAAAACAGACTAAGACATTTGCTTTGTAAACAGAGACAGTGAGGACATCTGCATGAATCAGTCTTGGTACTCAACAGAGGATGGGAAATCTCTGAGAGTTTGGCCTGCAAGCCAGTGCTCGCCCACATTTGGGGGCCGAGTATACACATCATGGCCCAAAATAACTCAAGCAGAATGGTTGTGTTGAAGTGGTTTCAGATGGCGATGTACCTAGCACTGCAAATGCAAATTCTTCAAAAGGAAGTCAACACAGATCTAGGTCAACAAAAATGTAAGTTACTAAAAGGTAAAAAAAATTATATGCATCTCAAAATCACATATTTATGGTGCATATGTGTGTGTGGTGTGTACACAGAAAGAAAATACATGTAGAGGGTAGAAAGGACCTACAAGATCATAAAGGGGAGCTCCCCACCAGGCCCCCTGAACAAGGGCTGGCTTCCCACGAGTGTGAAGCTAATATACTTATTTTAACTTCCTGAGAAGAATCTGGCCACCAAGGGCAGCTTGGGGACCCCAGGTCCCCTCTTCCTTATGGCACTCAGTGCTGCCCTCCCCATTTCTTCCAACAGCCACAGTCCTTGAGTCCACTATATTACTGCTGGCCTCACGCACTGGGTCTTCATCCATAGCAGTTGTCCAATAGCCTGGGATGCCACCATGGCCATCTCCTCCTGGAACCAGTCATTTGTTGCAGGAGTCAGAGACCCACTCATTTGTTGGGTTCCTGAAGTCCCCTCTTCGAGGAATCCTTCCTTGTGGCCTGCCACAATCCCACTGAGGTACCCAATTCTCAGTTGGCCTGAAGTCCTCCCACTGCATCTGTATAACTCAGCCCTTGTCTCCGGGTTCTTTGGTGGGGGTGGCAGTTGGGATGGGACCAGATCTCTCCCCTTGCTTTCCCAAAGATGGGTCCACAGGAGAGATGAGGAGCACCTGCTCCTGCTCTTCAGGATGAGGCCTGGGTACCAGCAGCACCAGCCTGCCTGGTGATTGGAAGAAATGCAGAACCTCAGGTCCACCCTAGATCTGCTGAATCAGAATCTGCATTTTAACAAGATCACCCCCAGCCCAGGGAGGTGATTCCTGTCTGCAGACCTACAAGTTTGAGAAGGCCTCAGGTGGACTGATTTGAGGACACTTTGAAGAAAACCAACCCAGAGCCCAGGCAGGCTGCTGTCCTGGATCCCTTGCATACAGGTGCCCCAGCCCAACACCTCAGGAGTACTAAGTGACAAAACCATGCCATCCTCGCAACCCTGGCCATGAGCTTGCTTTGGGCACTCAGCCTCCAATACTCCCCCTATGGATGGGGCTAGGCATCCTCGGGAGGCCAGTGGTCAGCAGAGCTGGCAGGCATATCACACCACTGCCCACTGCAGCCCTGCTGGGACCACTGGAGACAAACACACTGAGGGACTAAAGGACTAAGTGATTCACCCAGGATCACACAGCTATCAATTGGTAGAGCAGGAAATTAGGCTTGGGCCCATTTGACACCTCACTGAGGGCCACAGTGGAGGAGGAGAGAGAAGGGGATATATATGTCCCAGGTCCTCAAGACCATCTCACTCATCTCCATTCTCAGATAAGGGAAACTGAGGTCTAGTGCAGTGATTTGCTCTAGGTCACAGAGGGAGACAGGGACAGCACCATGACCAGATCAAGGGTGTCCATGTCAAGTTGATGTGCTCTGATAGGGTGCAAATCCCAGGGAACCCTTGCGGGGTCACCCAGCTGGACTTGGGCACGCAGAATCAGTGTCCAGGCCTAGGCAGGGCTACCAGTGGCCTAGTTTCCTGACTCTAGGCCACCAGCTCAGCTCTGGTGGACTCTGGTCCCCAGCCCTCATTCCCTAGCTATGAGTCTGCTTTGGTGCAGCTAAGTTAGTGCAGGCACCCCCTATCAGCAGGGGCTGGGGGGCTCCCAATGTGTCCCTCGTGACCATGCCAGAGGCTCAGGAGCTGACCTTGCTGAGCTGATCCTCCAAATGCTGCTTTTTCCGGCACCTTCTTGCTTAGTCATATACCTGCCCCTTCCCTTTGGGACCAAATAATGTCACTACCTGTTTTGTCATCTACTTGTTAATTTCCTTTTACTGGCTCCTTTTACTCATGCAAATTCACTTGAAAAAGGAACTTCCTATTATTATCCTAAACAGAAACTCAAAACCATGCTATAATCAGAAGGGAGCTATGAAAATAAACTCAGTGAACTATGCTGTGGTTATTACCCCAGTAGGCCTCTGTCTTTTAGGGTTTTTTGCTTTTTATTTCTAGTGCTCCGGATGAAACCCAAAACCGCGGCCATGTTAGGCAGGTGCTCTATGGCTGAGTTACCCCTCCCGACCGGATAGTCCTCTGTTAAAAGACAGAGAAATACAGGCAGGCAGAAACAGAAAGCCGCAAGTGCAGAGCCCTGGTCTCCACCAGCCCAGGTTTCTCTTTGGTTTCCTCAGGAAGACTGAAAAATACTGACATGTGGTCCTGTATCCAGCGTCATCACAGACCCACTGATCTTACCCAAGCATCCCTACCTGCCTCTACTTGTCCCCAACCCTGGTTTCCGATCCCCAAAGTCCTTGCCTGGCCTGCTGGCTCCTGAGCTCCCTAAGGTTTGGACCTGACACCCCATTTGGAAGGTGAATCCAATGCTCGGGGCTCCTGACTTCAGACTGGTATTTACCAGGTAACAGGGCAGACCCAGGAGTGTTCTGATTGGTCACAGCCTGCACCTTCAAATGTCATCTGGTGGTGTCACGCCATCTAGCTGTGCCACTTGTAAAAGCAAGAGGCCTGCACTGAGCCACCAAAGCCAGCCATCACCTGAGCAAGCCTTTGATTGCATTCTTCCCAGGCCTGGTGACAGCTGAGGGTATAGCAGTGATCAGGACAAACCCAGTCTCTGCCTCATAGAGGTATATAGGGTATAGTATGTAGTATATAGATGATCAGAAAACATCCACAGAGCATGCAGAAGCCGGGACAAAAGGGTAGAGCTCAGCCAGTGGCCTGGGGTGGCTTTCTCAGAACAGGAGCTATTCCAGGGAGTCACCCCATGCAAGAGGGTCCACTTTGGCATGCAAGGAGGGAGGGCTCAGGCGGAGGGAACACTGCAACTCAGCCCTCAGGCTGGAACCTCCTCTGATCCCCTGGATCCTCAGTGTATGTCTGCCAAGCATGCCCTCACCCTGACACATCACTCCAGCTGTGCCACTCAGGGAATGAGTTGAGGGGACCAACATGTCAAAGCCTGGCACAGTACAGCTAGGCTGCTCCCCATTGCTGGTGACTGGCTCACTAAAGAGGAAAGGACATCCAGATTCTTGAGTCACAAGCAGTGAAACTCCCAGTTAACCTGGCAGGGAAGTAAGATGGTGTCTGTGTAGTCAGATCTAGACCAGCTTCCAGCCAGGCTGGATCCAAGGACTCGGATTTTGCCATCCGAGGCTCTCTCGCTTCTGCTTTCCCTACCTCTGAGTTCTGCTTTTCTTTGCTCGCCTTCTCCCTTCATGTGGACAAGCTGGCTGCAGGATCACATGCACACTCCCTTCTTAGCAACCCCAGCAGTCTCCTGTGCCCAGGGTTCTTGTGAGGGGATGGCAGTGCCTTGGCCCTGAAGGGCACAACCACAATTAGTGAGCAGCCATGAACAGAAGTAGTTCTCGAGCATATTGTTTTGTGATCTGCTTTTTAAATTAAAACTATATACCATGAGCATTTCCCTATATCAGACAATATTCTTGCACACTATTTTTAGAGGTTGCACTGTATTTAGCACAGATGTTGTTATGGTGTAGATCTGGGTTGTGCCCCAAAAGCTTCATGTGTTTGGAAGGTGAGTGGACACAGGGCACTGGATTAGTCTTCTGAAGTCCACAGCTGACTTGGCATTAGGAGGGGGGCCTGAGTAGAGGTTGCTATTGGGGGCGTGGCCTGAAAGGTTTAGCTCCTCCCCTCCCTTCTTTCTCTGCTTCCTGGCCTCCATGATGTGAGTAGCTTTGCTCTGCACCTGGCCCTTCTACAGCACCATTTAGGCATTAAAATCTGCCAATCAGGGGCTGAAGCTTCTCAAACTGAAGCAAATTAAACTCTAGTTAAATTGAAGAGGTCAAAATTTGAACTGACGACAGCAACGTAAGATGCTATGCTTATTTTAACCATACTCAGTAATATTGTACATTTTCCTTATTTCAGACAATACTCCAGCAAGTACCATAAACCATACAGCTTTTTCTATTTGCACACTCTTATCTAATAGTAGCATTTCTGAATTTCTAAATTCTTGTCTTGGTTTTTTAAAAAGTATTTATTTATTTTGTGGTCCTATGAATGAAACACAGAGCCTTGCATAGGCTAAGCATGAACTCTACCACTGAGCTATGTCTTAAGCATTGAGTGTTTTTAATTGACTAGTAAAAGCTTTGTATATTCAAGCTGGGTGCATGGCACACATTTTAGTTCCAGCACTTTGGGAGGCTAAGGCAAGAGGCTCACAAGTTCAAGTCCTGCCTAGGCAACTTAGTCAGCTTTGTCTCAAAATAAAAAACAAAAAGGGCTGGGATTTCATTCTGTGGCAGAGCAGCCCTTGATTCCCTATCCAGTACCACAAAAAGGAAAAAAAAAATCATGTTACTTATGAATTAACTACACTATCAATGATTTTTAATATTAATTTTTCTCCCTGTGTGCTCAGACCTCCACCAGCTAAGTATGCGAG